TCCATAAGACTTTTCCTTGTTGGTAGTAGAAGGTTTTTAAAGTTCTGTTAGATGTCATAAAGAATACATTCTTCTCTATTCAGCTAAGGAATTTAGAAATATGTTTAAATAAACTTTATTTTTAAATCATTCTTTCAATAAACTTTGTCAGGGTACTTAACATATATTTAATTGGATCCAAGACACATTCATAATGTGTCTGATGGAAGTGGACTTCTTCATTCCTTCCATTCATAGTCTGAAAATAGTAAATAAATTATTTGGGAGGTTGGTGATAGATGCTATGGAAGTGCCCCTCTTTGAAGTGCCAATATTCTCTTTTCCAACACAAATGGTTTCATTTATTAAGTTCCAGCAATCCATTTTTGTTTTGTTTTTAAAGAACTAAAGTCATTAATGCATGAGATGTTACATATTTCTGTATATTTCTGGTAGAAGCCTGTATGAATCAAATATGCATTATTGCTACTTGAGAGAAGGGACTTTTTTCATGTTGAAAAAAACTCTGATCAATGAAATTAGCGTTGTATATTCATACTTTTAGCAAATATGCAAGTAATTTTATTTCTTCTAATTTGATATTTCTTATTTTAACAGATTCCATTTTGACATTGGTCCTTATGAAGATTTTTGGCCAGCAATTTTCGTCTATATGATCCATCAATGTTGTGGAGTAGGCTGGTATGATCTCTTTTTAAAAATTACACTTTTAAAATATTTTTAAAGAAACATTTGTATTAACCTTTGGAGCTCTAATGTTATTTGCTTTGGGTATATGGGATCAAAAAATCCTATTTCCAGTTCTACTTTATCGTTCCTATTATATAAAAGTGTGAATTCTGTTTTTCTGTCTGAAAAATTTTGTATCATATTGAATTGTGTTTTTAGTTCACGAGAGTGACTGGATTAAGGGTTATTTTCATGTAGAAGCAATGATTATTTTTTTTTAGATAAGATGACCCGAGTTATGGTATCTTCTTGTGTAGTTGAATGATTAAATTAGTTTGAAACATCAGTCTTTTTTTTTGTTGTTATATTGCCTGTGCACCAACAGCTTCCCTCTCCTAAATGTCTTTCATTGCAATGCTGATGGCCATGGCATTTTTGGCTGATGGAAGCTCTGGTTCAAAACCTCTGGAAGGCTTTATGTTGGAAAAGTCAGGCAGTGTAGCTCAATCATCTGGGGTGCAAACAGGTTGGATGAAGTCATGGTTAACTTCCTCCCTGGGGCTGCAGAGTGTCTCTGTTCTTGTATGCCCCGGTGTGCTATTGACACTGGCAACTGGGAGGTTTGTGTTCAGAATTCTGTAATCTAGTACTAGCATTTGGATGAAGAATAATTAAGATGAACAAGGAGACCCTCCTTTGGATCGACGAACATGAGTGAGAAAAATAGCATATGGGCTCTAAAGACTAATAACTAGTAAAGCTAGGGCCTTTTGAGAAAAGGAAAATAGTTCTACTGATATTTTCTCAAAGATGGAAGAATAAAGACAAACATCAAGGTCAGAAAAAAAATTTACTTACAAATTCAGAGATATGCAGTTGGATTCTTAGCGATAGGATTGGGCACATTCTTGATTTTCCCAGTAGATGATGCTCTATGTGTTCAAAGTATTGGGTACTTATAGGCAGGGCAGTAAAGCTGCAGCACTGAGATGTCACTATAAAAATAACTTGTCATGGTGATTTTATATACATAAAAGCCAATTAATAGATTGCATTACAATAAACATGCCACCAACTTTACCCTAAACGTTTTACATTTAAATACATTAAACATGATTCAGCTCTTCAAGATCATGTTTGGGAACTCTGATACACACATGGATGGATCTCTGAACTAGAGGTGTAAAAATGTTCCAAAAGTGTTCGAAGAAGTGCAGAGAAAAGTTATATTTTCCCCCTATGATTTGGTGAAAAACAGAAATCTTTGAAGATCTTTTAATTATATTCTAAATTTATTTCTCTAAGAAATGAAATGCATTACGTCTATATTAGCACATTAAATCATTATTTTATTGTATCTGACATTTAAAGGTACATCTTTGCACAGCCCGAAGCAGTGGGTGTATGAAGTGATATCTTTTAATGAATTAAAATTTGACTTTCTGATTGCAGAAGCGTTTTCAACCTGGTAGATATCTTTGTTAATAGAAGAAAAGTGATTTTCATAGATCAGACCTTCTTCATTCAGATCCCCTATTGCAGGGGTAGGCAACCTTGGCTGTTTTATGACTCGTGGACTTCAACTCCCAGAATTCCTGAGCCAGCATGGCTCAGCTTGGAAACCTCTCCCTTTCCCCTCAGCATAGCTGGCTCAGAAATTCTGGGAGTTGAAGTCCACGAGTCATAAAAGAGCCAAGATTGCCTACCCCTGCCCTATTGCATTCCATGATGATCTGAAGGTTCTCCCCATCTGTTGGAGTAGATTCTTATGTAGCACAGAGATCAATGGAGAAAGGAGACACCAACTGAAATTATTATATCCCCTTTCTCTTCAATCAATGGAGGCACTTGCTGGGTCAAAAACTCTTCTGAAAACATAAGTTTACACTTGGTTCTTCTTCACTATTTCTGTACATAACATTTCCAGATTTCCTATTCCTACACAGACATCCATGACATCCTAGAGCTGAGTCTATTTTCGTAAGCCCAGAGATATGTTTTCACACAGTGCATGTCCATAGGATTTACTGTTATTTATCAGTTGCTTTTTAGTTCCATTGCTACAGCAATGAAGCTTCCCAGTGTTGAATGTGGAATGTGTTGTTAGGACTGAAAACAACATTTTCAAATTCAAAACTTCATTTTGAATGCAGAGCAACATATTTCTTTTTTAAAATTATTTTTTATAAAACGGCTATTTTACAAAGAAAATAGAAAGAAAAGAAAAATAAAACACCATATTTCTGACTACACTGTAGAGAGTCTGTTCAGTCTGGGTGCTAGCATATTCACTGTAGAGCCAATTCTTTCTGCTTTGACTTTATCTTTTTTATTATAAATGTTTTTAATGATCGCCATAGCTTACTATAAAGTGATCTTTTTTTAAAAGGATAAAGTAATATTGTATGCAATAACTTGCAGTCCTTCACTTTTGCCATGATATTGTTTTACCTATAATTTTCTTATCTGGATTTCCCAAACACATCAAATACTACCTATGCCTATGGGTGATCTGTGCTTCCATTTCTACTTCATGCCAGCCCCATCTCTGGTAAGCATGATGTGCAGGCATTCTGGTCCCAAGAGGGAAAGGTACATTGGATCTGGTATGGACACACTCACAGTACTTGTCAGTGGCATCTTAAAAAACCCCACCATCTTTTCTTGATTCCACATGGTAGCTTCCAACTCATGAGCTGTGCTCATGTATTGGCCCATAGGGACTTGTAGCTTGGCAGTTAGGATGCTTGATAGGACTTTCCATGTTGTGGAGAGGCAGATTAACGGCCTGCAGTTAAACTGTGCTTTTTACTTGTGGGTTTTTTCTTATGCTCAACACTGTCCTTCCTTGTGTTTAGCCAGTTCAGGTGGGAGCCTTCATGTTCTTGACCCACTTCTGGATCTCTGCTACTATGTTGGTATCATGTGTTGCTGATAGGTACATTGAGTGTGCCCTCATCAGATCCAAAGTATCTTACCTGCTTCAAATCCAACTACTAAACATGTGATCTGTACCACATGTGGGTCAAGAATACCAGTAGCTTATAGATAGAACAGTTGCCCAAGACTCAAGGTCTAGAGTAGACAGACTAATCTAAGCACAGCTTGAATTGACTACAAGAAAGCCTACGACCCAATGCCACACACACATGAACCCTCTAATGCAAAATCAATAGGACACTAAGAACCTTCCTCAATAACTTAGTGGGGCTATGGAAGACAACTGGAACTGAGTTCAAGACAGCACTGAGACATCAATCATAGCAGCACAAGAACAGGCACTAAGCACCAGAATCATAGAGATTAGGTGTCTTTCATATTGGGCAGGATCTAAGGTGTAGACTCTGCAGAGAGGTCTCAGTGACAATGCAATAAATAGCGGTAGGGTGTAAGATGAATACATACTAAATGTCACAATCAAGTAGCTGGCATTGTGTACAGGAACATCTGCACAGTGTGTAGGTTAGATCCTCCCAAATCCTGATGGGAGATTCCTCAGAAAGTCATGGAGAACAATAGGGCTTAGATTCTGTGGAACTTGACAGATCCAGAGGGACAGGCAGTTACTAATCAATCAACCAGACATTGAAGTAGTAGACTTCAGAGGATAGTGATGTTGATAGATGTAGCTGCGCCAAGTAACCGCAACAAAGGAAGGAAGCTGGAGAAGTACAGAGCCTGAAGGAAAAACTAGGGAGAATGTGGAATATAAAGACCAAAGTGGTTCCAATGGTGGTAGGAGCATTCAGGGCTGTGACTCCTAAACTGGATTTCAACAGATCCCAGGCACAACATTAGAGCTCTCTGTTCAGAAGATGCACTGCTAGGGAACAGCTAATATCCTGCACAAAACTGTTAGATTTCCAGGCCTCTGGTATAGGACTTAAGATTGAGGAAAACATATACCCTCCATAGGGGTGAGAAGGGAATATATATAAAAGGCACATACATATGCATGCAGAGCTTATGAGTAAAGACTAGATGTTCTTAAATAGTGACTTAAATTTTAAAGGCCCTTTAAAGAAGTAACCAGAATTAAAACAATATGATAAAAGTCTGCCTTAAAAGGCTTTTATATTGAGAATGTTTATACTTTTTTAAAAAAAAAACTCTCCAAATTTCTGTTTTTTAAAATTAGGAAAATGGAAAAAAAAAGAAGTCAAGAAAATTCCCCCCACTGTTTCCCCTCCCAGGCTTTCATATCTCTAGTTTAAGCAAGAACTGCTCCATTTATTCAGAATCAAGAGAAATCAAGTAAATGGAACAATTCCAGTTTGTGCAGATCTCCATGTGTGCTTCAGAGCCCTGCAGAGCTTTTGATTGACAAGAGTTATTTTAAAGGGTTTTCAGCCCCCCATATATTTTTCGTAGTATGACTATACATGTACTGTATATGCTTCTGTTACTATGTCTTTAGTGCTTATAATCAGGAAAAAAATATAAGGGGTAATTTTTTGGGTCAACATTACTCCACTTGACAGAAACCAGGTGTGGTCTCTGAGAAGCATGTATTATTAAGGGTTTCTGTCTAAACGGAGCCCATTGGGGCTGAGTCTATAGATAGGTTGCACAGATTAAATTATTTTTGCAAACAGAAATGTTATTTCATTAGCATTTTAATTAAGCTGAGGATATTGAAAATAAATTGCCTGAAATGGTATAGGGTTTCCTGCCTGAGCATGGGGTTGGACTAGAAGACCTCAAAGATCCCTTCCAACTCTATTATTGTTATTGTTATTAAATTTCTCAATAGGGCAGGAACTTATACATATAGAACTCTTTTTTAATTTTTAGAACCATCTACAGTAGTTTACCAAATAGAGGGAGATGCAGAAGGAAAAAGCTTCCTCTATAGACCAGATCTGTCTCTGTAGCCACATTACACAAACTTCCACCCCTAATTTGCTCTTCCTATCCAGGAACAAACATGTAGTTGGGTGTTTTTTCTAAAGTTTTCTATGGAAAATTTTAGGAAACCCATACTTACATAAAACTGATGAAATGATCAATTCACATCCTCTGTTTTGAGAAAGCTGGGATCCCCACTGAAGTTCTCTGATTCTGAAAGCTTTAGCGATGGTCTATGAATTTCTTAACTGGAAGAGGAGGTATTTTAATGCCCCATTCCATCTAATTTTTGAAATTATTATCATCGGTAAAACTGCCTACCAGGAAATGATCATATACTTGACATTCTTTTCCTGTTTATTTTGGAAAGCCAGAGGATTCGACTTATGAATGTCTTCAAAGAAATTGACTTCATTGAAAATATTCATATGTTTTTCAACATATTAGAATGAATTTATAAACAATCCCCTCTGAAAAAAACAGATACTTGTAGGATTACCATTTTAGCCTATATATCTATAATAAAAGCTCACTTTCTCCTCAAATACATTTATATAAATATTTAATGAGGTTTATATGGGGATTTTGCTTTTTTTTAATGCAGGCATTTAGTTTCTGCACTTTAATTTTCTATACTTTAAATCAGTGTACATTTTTTAAAAATAATGTGACTTTCACTGTCAGAAAGACCTATAATTTGACTGAAAGGGCTATAGATTCAAAGGTATAATTCTAGTTTTTGCTTACTCCGATTGGGTTAAAAATTTCAGCTTTGATTTAATTGAACATTAAAGTAACCTCTGTTGGTTAATGTAAGCATACATCCTTGGAAATACATTCCAGTGACATCAGAAGATGTCTAAGTGCATTTAATTGAGGCATTAGCTATATAAATAGCAATAACATTACCACACATTTTAAATTATTTGAAAAGATTAAGCGAACCAAGTTTTAGCTTTGATTTTTAAAATGTGTTCAACAGTTAATTCTTAGTTTGAATTGTAAGCATAGTGGCAAGCCAGTTCTCTTTCCTGCGATGTAAGTCTGCCCCATTTTGCACATGCAGGATGAACAGAGGTCGAAAAGCTAACAACAGAGAAGATGGCAGTGCTATGATGTCAGCATTGAGCCTTTATATGGAATCTGATATTATGGAGGAAGGGTAATTAGAGCTTTTAGCCTGGACACAGCTTTGAAGAGATGCAGTATGTGTGTGTACATGTGTCTGTGTGTGGCTGGGTGGGGGAAATGTGAAAATACGATTGGCTGTAGGAATCAAATTCTTGGAAAGTAGGGCTCAATCTAGCATTGTTGCTTGTGACTATCTCTTAAAATGCTTACCCTAAAAAAAAGAAAAAAAGAATTACTTTTTTTTTCAGGGTTCAAATTTCAGGGTTCAAATTGAAAGCTCTGTAGGACTCTGACATGGACATGCAGTTCTGCTGCTCCATTCTCACGAGTGAGTTAGAATGTGCTTCTCAAAATATTTCAGTGGCACGTGCAAAAGAGAAGAACATCGGCTCTTTTTGTCTTTATTTCCACACTTCTCACACATGTGCGGTGAAATTGCTTGAGAGTAAAAAGTATATGTTTGCTTCCTTAGAAAACTAGAGCAAGCATACACAGGTATATTTCTAGTAGATACAGATGGCAAAGTAAAGCATAGATTCTCAAAACTTCCTTTGTCTTTCACTAATTCATCTCCCACAAAGGTATTAAAGACAGCCATATTTTCATTATACAAGCAGAATAATGAAGGCGCAAGTTTATTTCCTTGCCTTTTTTTAATGTAGCATCCAATGTCTCCTTTTCCGTTGATTTGCTGGCAGGTTAGGCATTGTCCAGCATGACTTAATTTCTGCTAAAAATAGTGGCATTTTTAAGAGAAATGTGCCATAATTCTTTTCAGCCAAATGCTTTGAAAATATGAAGAATGCAAGAGAATTTATCTGACAAAAGAATGGAGAACTTATGATGTTTTGCATCATGCGTATCTGCAACATATGAACATACATCATTGTGCTTTGAGTGGAAATGAGAGAAATGGACATTTCTGAATTTATGCTTGAATATGCCTCTTACTTCTTTCAGTATAACGTCTTGCCTTTTGCTTGCAGTACAGTGGAACTTAATTGGCCCAACTGATGAGAAAATAAATCCATTAAAATTCATTTTTTGTAAAGTTATACTGAAGTATATTTTTTAAAAAAGTAAATAGAAGTTTTGATTGAAAGTACTCTTTTTCTTCTGAATGCTTCATCCAATTCCTTTTTTTTCTTTCAAGTTTTGATATAGAAAAACTATGTCGTTTCACGATGTCTGTAAAGAAGAACTACCGTCGAGTGCCCTATCACAACTGGAAACATGCCATCACAGTTGCACATTGCATGTATGTTATTCTTCAGCACAACCACAGGACTTTCACAGACTTAGAAGTAAGTGTAGATTCCCCCCCCCCCCAATATCAAATACAAAGCAGAAGTAAAATCTGCAGAAACCACTTTGAAAACAGGACAGCTTTGTTTCAGGCCAGATCTGAGATTTACAGGATCTTGCTGTAGAAAAATCCTCACCACAATTTCCCCACACACATTCTTGGAGTGCAGCTTTTTTTCCACTATGCAAATAAACAGAAATATTTTACCCATCAAGGCCCTCTTAGGGCAAAGTTTTCTCATATAGGGCAACCTGCCCCCTAAGACTTTTTTTGGCCAGTGTGGCTTTAATTTTCTCTTCTGTAACAATTGTCCAAGTCAAAGTTCTGACACTGTATTGATCCCTATAAACCAGGTCTGTTTTACAGAATTAGTCTATTTTGCTTCAGAGTAATATCGTAATATCTCTGAAGCAACCCATTTTAATTGAATATTTGGGCTTTATAGAAATATTGGCACATTGCTGATATATATGAGACTAAGCCGTGGTGGCGCATTGGTTAGAATGCAGTACTCTGTCCACGGCCAGGATTTGATTCTGACTGGCTCAAGGTTGGCTCAGCCTTTCATCCTTCTCAGGTTGGTAAAATGAGGACCCATTCTAATAATAATAATAATAATAATAATAATAATAATAATAATAATAATAATAATAATAATAATAATAATAATAATAATAATAATAATAATACTCGATAGGTAGACAAAAATGCCAAATCCAGTCTGAACATCTGGCTGACTGTGCGATGATTATTATTAATAATAATAATAATAATAATAATAATAATAATAATAATAATAATAATAATAATAATAGAAAGAATGGTTTGAGATAATAAAGAATAACAGCACCAAATTAAGATTAACAGTTGAAACTAATCTTTAAATTTTTTTACAAGAGTAACAATTATAAAATTGAGTTTTAAAAATAAACTTAACTCTATGAAAGACTGATGCTCTCTGTGCTTAGTGGTTTACTTGCAGGCATTTCATTAGCAAACTACTGTAGGCAACATCATCAGTATTAATGAAGTGTGACTATTAACCAAGAGAGACAGGGCGTGATCTTGTTTCTGATGATATTTCAAAACAATATGGAAAATGCCCTAACAGTTTTTAAGTATTATCCTTTGGAATTGGAGGAAAATATATGAAGTATAGACCCTCTTAATTTCAGATGTCAGACTTAGATTATTAACTGCACTTCTGTATTCATCCATCGGGAGAATCTTATATTAAATATTGATGTAAGGATGTTTATAGTAGAAGAAATTGTTAAGAATTTCAGGTATCTGATGGAACCATATTATACATCATAGTTCCTAGACATAATTCTTTGTATTTTTTTCCCCTCCCTAATCTTTGTACAAAGTGAAAGTAAACTTTGTTTATTGTTTGTTCAGGATACCAGGTTGTTTGCTTATGGTTCACAATCTTGTACCTACTTTCTCCTATAATCTTTCTCTGTCTCCTTTCCCTCTTTTGACAAAATGTTACAAGTTTTGCCTATTATTCTGTGTTTTTGGAAATACCCTTTGTTTTTGCAATATTAGCCCAGTTCCAATTGCAGTCTACTTTTCCCCCACCCACTTTCCATGGGTTGTAGTAGAGAAAATGGGTTGGCTGATTTTGGAATCCCAGCAGCCAATGCCATATTTCCAGGGATTGGAGTGCTGCATTTGTTTTTTCAGAAAAAACTGTGCTGGTGAAGGACATGCTTCATTGGACAGCTTCTCTATTTTATTCACCAGAGAGACAGACTAAGTGGCTTTAATGAAAAGGAATTAATTCAGCTGCCATCAGGAGAAATAATAATTACGAAATGTTACGTTTTATTACTACACTGAGTTAGCACAGTTCTCAGAATAAAATTGCAGATTATATTACAGTACATCGCTTGTCCCATTAGAAGATGGAATACAACATCCTATCTCTTGTTTTCAGCAACAGCCAGTTATTAGAGGTGGGAAGTGCCCAGAAGCTGCATATCAATATTCATGCAGTTTTCCCTTTTGGCATACCAGTGCTAATCAACAAAGTATTCAATGAACTTTAGTTTATGGTTGTTGTTGAACAGGAGAACTGGGGTTAACACATTCAGAACAAGCCAGAATATTAAATCAACTTTTCAGTTCATTGATGACTTTCTGGTTATTCTAGCACATGGAGGAGGAGCACATGAAAAATAACAAAGAATAAAGAAGCAACATGGAGCTCTAACAGAGCAAATTTATTATTTAATCAACTTATACAAATAGTCCTCGGTTAACAATCATTCATTCAGCAACCATTTGAAGTTATAATGGTGTTGAATGAGTGGTACTTACGACTGCTCCTTGAAGTACCAGCCATCCCAGCTTCCTTGCGCTAATATGATCATGATCCAAGTGCTTGGCAACCATCTCACTCTTATGACCATTGCAGCATCCCACAATATCTGATCCCCATTCGCAAGCATTCCTGCAGACTTCCACCAGCAAAGTCAATGGGGAAGCCGACAGGGAAGATTGCAAGATGCTCCTTCGCTCACATGGCTTTTTTTTCTCGAGACCACGGCTCCAGACTCTGAGATCTCACAGGTATCTCATACTCCATAGCATGTGTGTCCCTACGGATTACCCAGCTGCTTACAGTGGCCACCTGCATACCCTCCTTCACCTGGCAGCAGACATCTGTGGCTCTGTCTCCCTTGCACTGCAGCAGTCACTTTTGCACCTGCTGGTCTGCTTCTGAGTCTCCTGGGACTTGGAACTTCCTGCAGGTTTCTGTTCGTTTGAAGCCAGGGGGAGTTGTGAGGAGGACATTCTAGTCCCAGTTATCGTGGTTAAGCAATGACTACCTTTACAGCTCTCTCATGGGCAGCGCACATAGGATGAAAACCAAGCTAAAACAAAAACATGATGAAATAATGACCAAAGATAAACCAACTCCAATAATAGAATCATAGTGACAGGCCCACTTAACCTCTAGATCCTTTGTCTAAGGGAAAATCCAGGTGTTTAATGGCGTATATAATGCTAGCAGGGAAATAGTCACATGTTTCTTGCATTATTAAACCAAGATGCAAACGTAGCTCAGACACCTAGTGAAGGTCTAGACCTTAGTTCTAGAGTACTTGCAAAATAAACAGAAAATTACATCATTAGTCCATGACGTCTCCCAGGTAGCTAAACTGGGAATTATTTTGAGGGTTTGCAAGAACTTCCTGAATTGGGAATTATTGTCTTCTTCTTCGTCGTCGTCGTCATCATCATCATCATCATCATCATCATCATCCATGTTTTATCTCATTGTTCAGCAGTCCCCATAGTTACTTCTGGTGACATGGGTGGCTATATTAATTAATTAATTAAATCATCTTTTATATTATCTTGTTTGACGCAACCAGTGGAACAACCTGCCTCCAGAAGCGGTGAATGCTCCAACACTGGAAGTTTTTAAGAAGAGACTGGACAGCCATTTGTCTGAAATGGTATAGGGTTCCCTGCCTGAGCAGGGGGTTGGACTAGATGACCTCCAAGGTCCCTTCCAACTTTATTATTATTATTATTAACTGATGATCTGGCTGAGTATAATAAACTGCCTCTTATTTTTTAACTTTTTAAAATATATTTTTTATTAAAAGTTGTTATCTTAATATAAAATAAACTACCTCTTATGTACTCAAAATGAGGCTATTATTTTTAGTGGCAGAATGTAATGCTTTACGCTAATTGGCTGGGAATCATTGATACTTATTTTTTAGGCTTTTAAGTCATCCTGTCTCCAAGTGGCTCACAAGCAAAAAGAAAATATAATTATATGGTACCAAATCAGAAAATATAATCTTTAGGAAAAAAATGAATAATAATAAAACCTAAACATACCTTTATCAACACTGATTATTCATAATTCTAGCACCGCCAATCATTCCAGGTACAACAAACTCATTCCTGAATCATGTATTTTATATGTTAAGGGCATCACTAATGTGTCTGGCCTAGTAGAGAGTGACATCTAGTGGTATAAATATAATTTGAAGTTTAACTTCCTG